TATTAGATGATTTTTCTTAAATGTCATTTTTTTGGATAGGTATTACATTACCTCCTAACTCTGCTTTTGTACACACACCCATTTTTAACACAGTAGACAGAACAATTTTTTTTTAAAACCCAGATTAAGTTATTTCTTTTCGTAAAACCCTCCAATAGACTTCCCATCTCACTCAGAGGAAAAGCTGCGATGCTTGCCGAGGCCTACGTGATCTGCACTCCTGCCCCACCACCTCTCTGATCTCCTGCTAGTCTGGCTTCACTCCTTCCATTCCAGTCACATTGATCTCCTTTCTATTCCTCAACCATGCCTCAGGACCTTTGCACTTGTTCTTTCCCCTTCTTGGAACACCGTTGCTCCCATGTATTTGTATGGCTCACTTCCTTATTCCCTTCACTTCCTCTACTCTGTTTAAAATTTCACTTGTTTGCACCATCCCCAGCATCAGCCCCTAGTCTCTTTACTTTTTGTCTTCTTGGCACTTTGCACCCTCTGAAGAAGTGTAATTCCAGAAATTAGTATGACAGGGCAGAGATTCTCTTAAGAAAATTGAAAAGTCCAGCCAAATCTTTAACTTGGCTAAATAAAAAAACATATTATATTACTTTCATACAGAAATAGGCTTCAGGCAAAGCCAGGGTTTTGCTTGTGAAGCAATTTTGTTTATAGCTTAAACACACACAACTATTAACTTGAGAGAGCTCTGAATACCATAGACATAGAGCATCTCTATAGCGATGGTTTTGACTTAGGACTTTTTAAAAGCACAATTAAATTTTGGGTCACATATAATTATATTATTACGTTTGCATAATTTTATACTATAGATTCTTTGGGGTTATCTATAATAAATACAAATTAATTATAAAATTTTACTTTAGTTATCCCTACTACTTTGCTTGTTTAAAAAAACCCCAAAGATCCAGGGAGGTTAAATATCTTCAAGGTCACTCAGCTGGAAGGATTGGAACCTGACAATAAAGTTGGATCTGACTCCAGACCCATGTTCTGTGTGTGTTCTTGCATAATGCCTAGCACATGGTAGACCCTCAGTATATATTTGAATTGATGGATAAATGGATAGGTGTCAGATATATGAACATATAATGCACACTGTGATTAAATGTAAGGAATATTAATGTATTGGTAGTTCCTTTTTTTCGCGGTACGCGGGCCTCTCACTGTTGTGGCCTCTCATGTTGCGGAGCACAGGCTCCGGACGCGCAGGCTTAACGGCATGGCTCACGGGCCCAGCCGCTCTGCGGCATGTGGGATCTTCCCAGACTGGGGCACGAACCCGTGTCCCCTGCATCGGCAGGCGGACTCTCAACCACTGCGCCACTAGGGAAGCCCTGGTAGTTCTTTTACATTCCTTGCTACTCATATTTTTAGACATATAAGCACTATTTTTTAAAATGTACGTTTTTAAGGGTCACGTAACTAAATTGGAATGCCTTGATTCTAAAATATAATAAAGGACTGCTAGGTAAGATTCTGAAATACTGACTCATTAACAAACATTTGAGTGTTTATTCACCATGTAGATACTGTGGATTCTGCAGTGAACAAGACAGACAAATCTCTGATGGAACCTACATTTTAGAGGACATGGAAGACAGTAAATAAATCTGTAATAAGTGCTTTGCAGAGAAGTAAAGCAAGGAGATGGAATAGAGAGAGACTGGATGACTATTTAAATTGGATGGGCAGAGAAGGCTTCTGATAAGGTGATGGTTAAAATGCAAAGATGAGGTGCCAACCATGTACAGGACTGTGGACACAGCTAGTACAGAAGCTCTCTGGTGAGACCAAGCTTGTTAATTTGGAGACATGAAAAAAATGTGGTTCTAGCTGTCAGGGAAAAGAGTGCCTCAAAATTTGGGGAGCGGGGGCTGGTGAAAAGTACAAATCCTGTAATACTTTGTAAACTTCAGGGTAAGGATTTTGGGATTGGTTCTGGTTATAATGAATCGCCATTGGAATTTTTAGTTTGTTTTTTTAAGCCTAGTCATGTTTTCTGTTTGTTTACGTGTTTTGTAATGGCTTTATTGAGACATAATTCACATACCTTATAATTCACCCATTTAAAGTATACAATTAAATAGTTTTTTAGTATATTTACAAGGTATATTCACCATGATCACAATTTTAGAACATTTTCATACTTCTGGAAAGAAACCCATACCCTTTAGCAGCCTCTTTCCATCCTGCCCAAACCCTTCATCCAGGGTAACCACTAACCTACTTTCTGTCTCTATAGATTTTCCTATTCTGGATATTTCATATAAGTGGAATTATATTACAATATGTGATCTTTTGTGTCTGATTTCTTTCACTGAACATAATGTTATCAGGGTTCACCCATGTTGGAGCATATATCAGTACTTCGTTCCTTTTTATGGCTGAATAATATTCCATTGTATGGATATACTACATTTTATTTACCCATTCATTAGTTGATGAACATTTAGGTTGTTTCTACTTTTTTTTTTTGCCAGTTCTTTCAGATTTTCCACATAGATGATCATGTCATCTGTGGGCAAAGACAGTTTTATGTCTTCCTTCCAAACCTGTATACCTTTTTTTTTTTTTGGTGGTACGCAGGCCTCTCACTGTCGTGGCCTCTCCCGTTGCAGAGTACAGGCTCCGGACGCGCAGGCTCAGCGGCAATGGCTCACGGGCCCAGCTGCTCCGCGGCATGTGGGATCTTCCTGGACCGGGGTGCGAACCCGTGTCCCCTGCATCGGCAGGCAGACTCTTTGGGAAAATATTCCCAAAGCATATAACCTGACAAAGGACTTACATGAAAAAAGAACTCTCAACACTCAATAGTTAAAAAAAAAGGGGGTGGGGGGGGAACCATCCAATTAGAAAATAGACAAAAGAGGGAATTCCCTGGCGGTCCACTGGTTAGGACTCTGTGCTTCCACTGCAGGGGACACGGGTTTGATCCCTGGTTGGGGAACTAAGATCCTGCATGCTGCACTGTGCAGCTAAAAAAAAGAAAGAAAATAGGCAAAAGACACGAATAGACATTTCACCAGAGAGGATGTATGGATTGCAGATAACTACATGAAAAAGGGTATAACATCATTAGCCATAGAGAAATACAAATTAAAATGAAGATGAGATATCACTGCATGCCCTATTAGTACAACTAAAATAAAATATAGTGAGAACACCAAATGCTGATGAGGATGCAAAGAAACTGGGTCTCTCATACATTGCTAGTGGGAATGTATTAAAGTAGTATAGCTACTCTAGAAAGGTCTGGCAGTTTCTTATAAAGTTAAACATATACTTACCATCTGACTCAGCAGTAACATTTCTGGGTGTTCATCCCAGAGAAATGAAAACTTATGTACACACAGAAACTTGTACACGAATGTTCATAGCAACTTTATTTGTAATAGCCAAAAACTAAAAACAACCCAAATATCCTTACACCGGTGAGTGATTAAACAAATTGTGATGAGTCCATTCAGTGGAATACTACCCAGCAATAAAATGAAACAGACTAGTATTACATGCAACAACTTGGGTAGATCTCAAGGGCATTATGCTGGAAAAAGTGAAAACAGCCGTTTCAAAAGGTTGCATTATGCATGATTCCATTTATATAACATTCTGGAAATGGCAAAAGTAGAGAAATGGAAAACATTATTAGCCAGGGTGTAGGGACTATATAGGAGGTAGAGAGAGGAGTGAGTGATACAACAGTTTTCTGCCTTCTTTGTGGCAGTGACTACACAACTCTATACATGTGATAAAATTGCAGAGAACAGTACTCTAATAATGTCTGTAGATTGTACCAGTGTCAATTTCTTTTTGTACTATGATGTAAGATGTTACCATTGGGAAAAACTGGGTAAAGGGTACACAGGACTTCTTTGTACTGTTTTCGAAATTTCCTGTGAGGCTATAGTTATTTTAAAACAAAAGTTTTAAAAAGAAGTTTTCTGGGAAGGGGAACAGAGAAATGCAGTGTTAGTTGGAGGGATGTGGGGTTGAGAGTGGGGTTTTTTGTTTGTTTGAATTTTGCTTTTTTTTAGAAAAGATAGGGGAGGGACTTCCCTGGTGGCGCAGTGGTTAAGAATCCGCCTGCCAATGCAGGGGACTCGGGTTCGAGCTCTGGTCTGGGAAGATCCCGCATGCTGCGGAGCAACTGGGCCCGTGGGCCACAACTACTGAGCCCGTGTGCCACAACTACTGAAGCCCACACGCCTAGAGCCCATGCTCTACAACGAGAAGGCACTGCAATGAGAAGCCCGCACACCACAACAAAGAGTAGCCCCCGCTCACTGCAACTAGAGAAAGCCCGCGCACTGCAACAAGGACCCAATGCAGCCAAAAATAAATAAATTTTAAAAAAAGGGGGGGGAGACTTAAACATGTACATATGCTAATTATAATGATCCATAAAAAGAAATTGGTGATGCAAATGAGGGAAAAATTACAGGAGCAAAAGATCTTAAATCTTTGGCTTGAAAGCATTGAAAAATACTACTATTTACGTATTTCTGTCCTGTTATTTATAAATGAGGTTATCTTTACAACTTTTTGTAAATGATTCTAAAGATAAATGTGGCTGTACTATGGTGTAGTCCTTTAATGTTCTCAAAATTCCACAAGCTTTTGTATTACATTGTGGAACTAGATCACTAAATAAATGGAATTCCAAGAGTTTTTATCACACTTGCTGGTATTCGTCTTTAAATAACTTTAAAAAGAATTTTATGTCACTTTGTACTGTCCCTTTCAGATTTTCATCCAGTATTGGTAGGTTGTTAACTTAGACTAATAAGTATTTGCACATATATATGTTTACAAATAACCTTAATCGTATACTATTTAAGAATTAAATGAGTGGTGATTCTATTTTGTTTTGTGTCATATAGTGGATTTTAATCTCTATTTTACCAAACTAGTCTACTGTTTTGCCCTTTATCTAGAACTTAGTAATCAGATGCTCAGTGCAAATTATTGGTTGTTTATTTCAGGGATACGGCAGGCCAGGAGCGATTTCACACCATCACAACCTCCTACTACAGAGGAGCAATGGGTATCATGCTAGTATATGACATCACCAATGGTAAAAGTTTTGAAAACATCAGCAAATGGCTTAGAAACATAGATGAGGTAAGACCTAGAAATTGCGTAAACCCTACATAAACACACATTTGTGTCCTTGGTTAAGAAGAATAAATATTCCAGTTGATCTTATAGTGTTTGCTATCATTACTATTGAATATTTCCACTTGTTTACAGGGTAATGTTATTTTTTGCCTAGCTTTTTCTTAAAATTTTGGGCAGATCTGTTTTGAACCCCATCCAAGGCAATTACCAGATTACCCAGAAACTCTGTACAGTCATCTTATAAGATGGCCCCAAATAGAAGCTGCCAGTGGTTTTACACACCTGTCTAAATGAATTCTTTCTTGGGGAATTTTTATTGAATGAATGAATTACATTTTCAATAGTAATTTTAAAAACGTATTTTTGGGAATTCCCTGGCAGTCCATGGGTTAGGACTTGGCACTTTCACTGCTGTGGCCCGGGTTCAATCCCTGGTCAGGGAACTAAGATGCCACAAGCCATGTGGCATGCCAAAAATAAATAATAAATAAATAAAAACGTATTTTTAAGTTATGGAAGTACCGTATCACTGCTAGACATTTTGAAAGATACAGAGTACTAATACAGTAAAATGCTAAACAAGAAAACAGTGCCATATCATTGCACGTGAAGATGTCAGTTTTTATAAGGTAGTATGTCAAAGCATGCCTGTTTCTCTGCTGCAGCATAGGTAGCTTCTTGTTGGAATTATTTTTCATGTCTTATTTCTACCTTCTATGCTTTGAATTTCATTAAGACTAACTCTTGGGAATTCCCTGGAGGTCCAGTGGTTAGGACTCTGCACTTCTACTGCAAGGGGCCCGGGTTTGATCCCTGGTCGCGGAGCTAAGATCCCGCAAGCTGTGTGGCACGGCCACAAATAAAAAACCTCTTTAAAGCAACTTTTGGCTGGAAACACAAAGACCAAGTCTTAAGCCAGTATTAGACCCAAGGTAATAATATCTTCAATGGTAACAATCCTAAGGGCTTATTACTAACTTTTCCATTGCTACAAGAAGTCTGTTAGTATTTAATAATCTGTTAATGAGACAGATTTTGAAACCAAAAACAAAGCCTCCATTTTAAAATTTCCTTAGCCTTTATTTTATTGTTTGGCCAAGTAGCATGTGTAATTAGAGCAATTTATATAGAGAGACTATGCAGTGTTCCAGCATCAACCGATTTTCCAATTCTGTGACATCAACTGGATGTCCTACAATTCAATCCTGTTCTGACACTAATTACTCAGTCTTAGTGTCAGACTCCACAGGTTTAAGGACTCAGTCCCACAAGACTGCTCTTCCTTCAAATGCAAGTCCTGGGTCCCCCAGGCTACCTGCACTTCTGTGTGACTTGGCTACAAATTTGGAGGTTCCCATGACCCATTTTGGGGTTCAGTAATTTGCTAAAATGACTCACGGAACTCAGGAAAGAGCTATACTTACAACTGTATTATAAAGGACACAACTCTGGAACTGCTAAATGGAAGAAATGCATAGACAGTGTATGGGGGTTGGAGAATGCAGAGCTTCTAGGCTGTCTCTGGACATGTAACCCTCTTGGTACCTTGATGTGTTCACCAACATAGAAGATACCCTAACTTCATTGTTTCCAAGTTTTAATGGGGGCCTCGTTACATAGTCATGATAATTAAATCACTGACCTCTGGTGATTGACCCTAATCTCTAGCCCCCTTCACCTCGTGGCTGGTGGGGGTTAAAAGTCTGAACCCTCAGTGTTTGGTTCCTCTGGTGACCAGCCTCCATTGTGAAACTCTGTAGAGGCCCTGCTGAGAGTCCTCTATTAGCATAAATTTAGGTAAACAGAAAGAGGCTTGTTATGAATAACAAAAGACACTCCTGTCACTCAGCAAATTAGGAGCACTGTGCCAGGAATAGGAACAAAGACCAAAAATATGTTTTTTATTATACCACAGGCTCATACATTTAACTTGGTAGGCTGGATGGCTTAAGTTTCCCAGCATGAGAACTAACATACGTAAAACCCAGCCATTAAAAAAAAAAATCTGTTTTTCTGATATGTAAGAGATAGACTTTGTCTAATTTTTAATGTGTTGTAGAAATTTAAACTTTTACAGCTGAATTGATCCAGCAACATTTAAGAAAAGATTATATATATCAAGGTCAAGAGAAATTTACCTAGGAATGCAACATATGAAATAATGTAATACACCATATTAATAAAAGACAAAAACCATATGATCTTGTCAACAGACACACGCCAAAAAACCCATTTGGCAAAATCTAAAAGACGTCTGTGAAAATCTCACAGACAACATCATCCTTTCCCCTACAGTCAAGGACATGATTAGGATGCCTGCTCTGGCCACTACTGTTTAACATTGTACTAGAGGTTCTAGCCAGGGCATTTAGGCAAAGAAAAAAAAGAGCACCTAGATTGGAAAGTAAAACTATATTTGTAAATGGTATGATCTTGTATATAGAAAATCCTAAGGAATCCACACACTTCCACCAAAAAATAAAACTATTAGAACTAATAAACAAGTTCAGTACGGTTGTAGGAAGCAAGATTAGTATACAAAAGTCAGTTGTATTTATATACATTAGCAGCAGATAATCAAAAAATGAAATTAAGAATATAATTTTATTTATAATAGCATCAAAAAGAAAATAATAAGAAAAATTTAACCAAAGAATTTAACCAAAGGCTTTGAAAACCATAAAATGTTGTTAAAAGAAACTAAAGAATATCTAAATAATTGGAAAGACATCCCATGTCCATGAATTGGAAGATTCCATATTGTTAAAATGGCAGTACTGCCCAAAGTGTTCTGAGGATTTAGTGAAATCCCTATCAAAATCCCAGCTGCTGCTTTCGGATAGCGGCGGGGGTTGACAGGCTGATTCTAAAATTCATATGGAAATTCAAGGTACCCAGAATAGCCAAACAGTCTTGAAATAGGCAGTGACGTTTAAGCTGAGACCTGAAGAGATGAGTAGAAGGTATCCAGATGAGGATGGGGCTGGTGGAAATAATATGATGGATTCAAATTTAAGACAAACCAAGTCTCATAAATTACTTTTGGTGTCCAGAGAACATAATTGTGTTGCTGCAGGGATATTTCAGGGAAAGGTGCATTGGGCCAAAGACAGACAATTGGAGATATTTTCCCCATCCCATGGGTTGCTTTTTCATTCTGCTGATAGTGATCTTTGACACATAGAAGTTTTTAATTTTGATGACGTACAATTTATCTGTTTTTTCTTTTTTGTTGCTTATGCTTTTGGTGTCATATCTGAGAAGTCATTGCCAATTCCAACATGATAAAACTTTTCCCCTATGTTTTTTTCTAAGAGTTTAATAGATTTAGGTCTTCTATTTAGGTCTTTGATCCAGTTTTTGAGTATGGTGTTGTAAGTTAAAGGTCCAACTTCATTCTTTTGCATGTTGATATCTGGTATTCCCAACACCACTTGTTGAGAAGACTCTCCTTTCCCCCATTGGATGGTTTTGGCACTCTTGTTGAAAATCATTTGATGGTGTACACAAGAGTTTATTTCGGGTATCTCTGTTCTGTTCTTGTTGTCCATGTCTGTCCTTATGCCAGGAGCACACTGTTTTGATTACTGTAGCTTTGTAGTAAGTTTTGAAATCAGGAAGTAAGTGTGAATCTTCCAACTTTGTACTTCTTTTCAAGATTGTTTTGGCTATTCAGGGTCCCTTGATATTCCACATGAATTTTAGAGATGGATTTTCCTATTTGTGCAAAAGATTTCATTAGGATTTCAGTGGAGCAACATTTGTTTTTAACTGATTTTTGTGCATGGACTCCCCTAGCAATGTGACTTTTTGAGACTCTAAGGGCTCTGTAGATTTTTAAACTAAGGTTTCTTATAGGGTAATCCACATTATCTAAAATCGTGATCCAGCTTGGATTTAGACTATGTGTAAGAAATTACAGTTTCAGATCTTTTGCATATGTCCTCTCTTGTTGAGAATGTTTCTAGAAACTAGACAGCCTCCTATAAAGTCATTTTTATTAAGCCATAATTCATGGTAGTGTGTAAATTAAATTTTTATTTCATTTTAGCATGCCAATGAAGATGTGGAAAGAATGTTACTAGGAAACAAGTGTGATATGGATGATAAAAGAGTTGTACCTAAAGGAAAAGGAGAACAGGTAAAAAGCTCTGAGTGAGACTAATATGCTGACCTTTCTTTGTGAAGATGGTGTTGCATTTGATTGTTTTTACGTTAGTGGTAGTGGAGTGCACTTGAGCTATTTGCATCCTTTTAAAAATGCTGTAGGAAATGATAGCTTATCATTTGAGTGAATTTTTGTTTGTTTTCTAAGGAGCTTGACCATTTGAGTCTTGACCCATTGAAATAATCTGTTCATTTTAGATAACCTAGTTGAGATTACTACCTTTAGAATAATATTACTGTTTCCTTTGGGATGCTAAAGTCATCAATTGGTAACCTATACTTGATAATTTTATGATGATATTTTGCTTCTATTTTAGATTGCAAGAGAGCATGGTATTAGATTTTTTGAGACTAGTGCAAAAGCAAATATAAACATCGAAAAGGCGTTCCTCACGTTAGCTGAAGATATCCTTCGAAAGGTAAATTTCTTTTTTCTTTTTCTTTTCTTTTTTTTTTTACTGCTAAGGTGCCTGGTGTCACATTTGGACATTTCATGTTTTCTAAAGTACTAGATTTACATACAGAAATTGGGTTTGGGTGGTATTGTTTCTAAACGTTTACCCATCACCAATATATAATCCTCCAAAGTAAAGAAAGGAACTGGAAGGAACAGGCAGCCATCTAGACATCTCTAGGATCTAGTCAGGGGTAACAGTTGACACTCTGAGCTCCAGTACTCAGTCTCTAGCCTAATTTCATACTCCTTTTTCCAACTTTTTGTCTGGTCCATGGTGTTATGGCTCTTCTGTTTCATTTCTCTTATATATCCTTTGCATTCCCATAGATAAAAAATTTAAGATAAGAGGTGAATCTCTGATGTAGTTATTGCTACAAAATCTCTATTCTTCTATATAGTCATTTCTCAGATGTGCCAGTGAAGGGCATGTATATACTATATACTGAATAAATAGAGTAAGTCTGCCCCCAAATTTCATTTACCCAATCATTTCAACCTGTAAGGTTAAAAAAAAAAAAAAAAAAGCTGAAAATTGATTTCGGGGAATTTTACCTCGAGGTTACTTTCTGGGTTTAATTCGTGAATCCCAAAATTTGCCAGTACAAGTAACTTGTAGCAAAATTGAGAAATCTGATTTTCATATTTTCCCTTCAAATGACTAGGTAACTACACAGTTATGAATTAAGGTTATGAGTCCTGAATTCTCTATTCAGTCTTATGGTGTATTTAAAATGCAAGTAAAATAGAAAAAATCTGACAGAATCCTGAAGGAGAAGCAAGCATTGTATAGGAGAAAATTTAATTGCTTCTGGTAACCTTTCTGTTTTTATACTTGAGATATCACTATCTTCCCCCCAAAAAAAACCCCTCAAATTTCATACATACACACATATAAATCTAAGCTGTAATAGAGGTGGTATTATCAAGTGTAAATCTAATGAAATTTCTGAGGAACCAAGCAACCTAATTTTTTTGAGGGGAGAGCTATCTGTTTACTATAGTGTTCAAACTAGAAAAAACAGTTATCACTTATTGCTGTTTAGAGTAACTACAAAAGTTGTGCCTGTCCACATCTGCTGACATCCTGCATATCATGTCTGATATCTATAATGTATTGATATATTGAGTAATAAAAAGCAAGTTAGGATATAACATGTGTGGTTAATGATCTTTTAAAAATTATATATGATACCAAAAACACATGTACACATACACACACACACACATTTGGTTATGCTTAGCAAATAAGGATCTGGAAGGATATATACCAGACTCTAAGTAGTGAGTACTCTAGTGTGATGGTGGGAAGGGGAAGGGGATATAGGACAGAATCACTTTTACTTCATGTACAGTTTTGTTTTGAAATTTTAACTTACTTCTTTTTAAAGTTATAAAAACAATTTAAAAAATACTTTTACACAACTGGATATAGGTAAAAACCCATTAGAATTCCTTGAGGAAATATATTTTTATTTAAAAATATTCCTGTAAGAAACAAAAATTAAAGTAGAACAGAAAAATACTAGGTAGACTATGAAAAACCATTTGTATTTTTAATTAAATGAAGGGAATAACAGATAGAAAAATACTTTAATTGGTGGAAAGTATAATACTTTGTATTTCTGAGATTGGTGGGTTACAGTGAAAAATTATTTCAGTACTTACAGGAATTATCACAAAACTTACTGAAATACCCGTGTTCTCTGTGTTTTTTCTCTTTCTGGAAATTTGGTCTTCTCCATTGTTTCTGACTTCTTTCTGTAATTATATCCCTTGATCTTCTTCCAGATCTTTGCATTTCAAAAAAATAGTGCTGGGCTTCCCTGGTGGCGCAGTGGTTGAGAGTCCGCCTGCCGTTGCAGGGGACACGGGCTCGTGCCCCGGTCTGGGAGGATTCCGCATGCCGCGGAGCAGCTGGGCCTGTGAGCCATGGCCGCTGAACCTGCGCGTCTGG